CTTTTTGGAGGAGAGGATGGGGGGATGCAGCCCCAGGAGCCTATGGAAGGCTTAGAGTTGGGGGCAGAGCCACGTGGTGGCTGCCCAGCTGCTCCTGGTGCGGGGCCATGTGGCGGCCTGCTGTCCCATGTGCCAGAGATGGAGCCAGGGCTGTGGTGTGGCTGTCTGCCCCCCAGCTGCGGCCCCAGAGCAGCTGCACTGCACCTCAATTGCAGCCCCCAAACACGAGGCAGCCGCCTGCTATGCGGCTCTGCTCAGGAGCAGCTGGGCAGCCATCACGCGGCCCTGGCCTCAGCTCCATCCCTTCCTTGGAACTGGAGCTTGGGCTACATGATGGATGCCTAGCTGCTTGCAGGGTGGGATGTGTGGTGGCTGCCAGCCCACCATGCAGCCCCACCCTGAAAGCAGCTGGGCAGGCACGTGGCCCTAGCCTTAGCTCTAGCTCTTTGCTGGAACTGGGGCCAGGGCTGCGTGGTGGCCACCTGGTTGCTTCTGGAGCAGGCTGCGTAATAACTGCTGGAGCGTGAACCAGGGCCATGGTGCAGCTGTCCCAGTAGGGGCAGCTGCACTGTGGTCTGGCTCCAGTTCTAGCACACAAGGCAGCTGCCTGCCATGTCCCAGCTCTGCAGGGCTGCGTGGTGGCCACTGAGCTGGAGCTGGGATGCAGCTGTCCCAGGCATATAAGGCAGCAAACCACCATGCACCCCACTGGGCCACATGGCAGCTGCTGGACCCCACCACTACTTACCTTCCAGGTTTAGAAGGAAGGTGAGTGCTGCTGCACAGCGCTGTGAAGGAAGTGGGTGGGCTTAGAATTCTTTGTGCACACCCCCCTAGAGGGAACATCAGTTGAAACTGTAGTAAAAAACAATTCTCAGCCAAACAGGTGAATACATTATAGGGGGAGGGGGGAACTCTGAAGGGCATTGGTAAAGCGAAATCATGTCTCACTAATCTGTTAGAATGCTCTGAGTGTGACTGAAAGCTTTTGGTAAGATGCCTCACAATAGGCTCTTGAGCAAAGGAAGCAGTCTAGGAATGAGAGGGACGATTATTTCAAATCAATAACTAGTTAAATGATAGGAAACAAAGGGTGGGAATAAACAGTCAGTTTTTACAAAGGGGGGAGGCAAATAATATGATCCCTCTCGGATCTGTGCTGTTTAACATATTTACAGAGTATCTGGAAAAAGGGTTAAACAGTGAGATTGCTTAAAATATACTAAATCCAAAGCAGACTATAATGAGTTGAATGTATCTCTCTCAAAACTGGGTGACTCAACAAAATGGCAGATGAATTTCAGTGTTGATACATGCAAAGTAATACTCAGTGGAAAATCCAGTCCCAACTATACATACAAAATGTGATCTAAATTAGTTGTCACCACTCAAAGAGATTTTTGCAGTCATCAGGAATAATTCTCTGAAAACGTTTGCTCAGTAACAGTCAAAAAAGTTAATAGAATCGTAGGAGTCATTACGAGAGGAAATTAGTAGGCAGCAGGTTTAAAGCAAACATAAGGAAATATTTCAAACACCACACAGTCAACCTATGGAACTTGTTGCCAGGGGTTGTTATGAAGGCCAAAAGTGTAAATTGGTTAAAAAAAAAAAATGAGAGAAGTTCATTTTGGTCCAGCAATGGCTATTAGACAAGATGGTCAGGGACACAGCTCCATGTGATGGGTTTCCCTCAGCCTCTGGCTGCCAGAAACAGTCTAGACAACTGTTCATTCCTTCTGAAGCATCTGACACTGGCCATTGTCAAAAGATAGGATGCTGAACTAAATAGGCTATTAGTCTGACCCAGTATAGCTGTTCTTGAGCTTTTCTGGGTCAAAAATAAATATTAAATGATTATTAATCTGGAAAAGAATGCAATAAATATTTACTTGATCATTGTTACCCATTGAAATGTAAATCTAAGTAACCAAAGCAGTGGCTTCACTTTCATAGTTTGCTTTTGTTTCAGGATATACCCAACTGTGTGATTGGTGGAGTGTTGGAGTAATTCTTTTTGAAATGTTGGTGGGGCAGCCTCCCTTCCTGGCGCAAACACCACTGGAAACCCAAATGAAGGTAATTAAGAAAATTAGGTGTTAAAATTATGTAATAGTAATGTGCAAAAGTAGCAGTATGTATAATCCTACAAGAATTGCCTTTCTGAAAAAGCAGAGTTAGAATTTGTGTAATGCTTTCTTATATAAAGTAAGAGGAGATATTTTTAAGTGAATAAGCGCTGTACCACACTAGGTGATTAAACTAACTTTATCTACAAGTCAAAGGGTATCTTTCAGAGGGTAAATATTGTAAGATCTGATGTTTCAGTTTCACACAATAATCCAAGCTTGTCATTAGTTCATGTTTTATCAAGAACTAATCATTTTTGCCCTCTTACACTATAATATGTTTGGGAAACTTCCAGCATGCTGGCCAGATCTGGCCACTTGCTTAATTTCATCCAGCCCACAGTTGCAGAATCACTGAGCCTTGACTCCCCTGCAGGATTGGAACTGCAAGTGCTCGCTCGCCCTACTGCAGGGGGAAGCCAAAGTGCCAGGCTGCTCACCTGTGCTCACCCGTTTCTGTGGAGAGGCAAATGATCAGGGAATCTGAGAGTCCATGTATGCTTAACCCTGCAGCTCCCATTGACCAGTAACTGTGGTCAATGGGAGCTGTGTAGGTGGCATCTGCGGGAAAGGGCAACACGTTGTAGCACTTCCAGGAGTGGTGCGGGACCAGGGAAGAGAAGGGAATCTGTCTTAACCCCACTGCGCTGCCAAGTGCCAACTGCCTGAGGAGATAAGCAATTTCTGGCCAGAGTTCTACTACCCTTCCACACCCTAAACCCCTGCTCTAGCCCTGAGACCCCTCCCTCATTTTGAGCAGGAGCCAGCGCTGTGTGGAGCTATCAGTGGCTTTTGAGCTGGCTCCCTATGAGCACCAGACCTGTGGAGCGCGCCCCCCCCCCTCCCCTTTTACCTCATACGGGACGGGGGGGTGTGGGAAGAGGCGGGAGCTAGTACGTACAGGAAGCAGGCTTTCAAGCCAGCTCCCCATGCATATCGGCTCACATGAGCTGCTTCCCCCGCCCCTGCCCCACCTCCACGTTGCTGCCTTTGTCCCCAACGGGCCCAGGCTCACCGCGAACAGAGGTTGTGCCATGGGATGCTGGCACAGCTTCTGTCCGCGGGGACCTTGGACCTCCTGTGGTCAGGGGCTGCTTCTTGGGATGCTGGCATAGCTTCTGTGCATGGGGAGATGTTTTTTAAACTGACTCCCCTCAAAAACCGGCTCCTACCTGCCACCCCATACAGAGGCAGCAGTGTGAGATGGCATGGAGCTCCGCCCCATCCCCATGTCTCTACCCCAGATGCCGGGTGTGGAGGAGCGCTGCCACCCCATACAGAGGCAGCAGTGTGAGATGGCATGGAGCTCCGCCCCATCCCCATGTCTCTACCCCAGATGCCGGGTGTGGAGGAGCGCGTCCCTTCTATTCCTCTGCTTCCTTCCTCTGCCCTACTCCCGATACTCCCCTTCCCTCCCCCCCGCTCTCTCTACCTCTCTCTCTCTCCCCTACCTCTCATGGCCGTGCCCCTTTTGAACCGCCCTCCTGGTCCCACCCTATTAGCCCCTCCCCCTGACGCACGTTTCCCGTAACATCTCCCGACTTAGCACACCCTCCCTGCCCCCCGACGTACCATCTGGCACGTTGCTGCCACCGCTGAATTCAGCGTTCTTCTGGCCGCAGTGCGACTCAGGAGCAGGTGGCACAGGCGGCTGACCACCCACCGTGCACCCCATAAATTGCCGAAGTCAGCGCGGGCTGAATGCGGGGTGAATCGGTTCTACTCTGTGACGGGGCGGACCCGCTCCCCCGATCTCCAAGAAATATGTCCATATAACTCTTGATTCTAAACAATTTTAATTGGTTACCCATATAACACTGGATTGACATACTGTATATTGCTCTTACGGGGTTTGACTGTTTATTTTGGAATGACATACTGCTAACTTGGACTGCTACTCACCAGATTCATCTTTCCTTTGTTAATAGCAGCACATATTTTCATCATTGCTCATCTGGTGGAATTAGATGCCTTCCTCTGCCAGGATCTATAAATCCTAGAGCTAATCTAATTCTTCTTTCCAAATATTTTCCTCTCCCCCACCTCCCCTCCGAACAGTTATATACATACCGTGTATTAACATTAACTCTGCTGGTCCTGCCCCTAGGTACTATCGAATAGTTGTGTAACCAATAATATTTTGTGTGGTTATATAACTATTCAGTTAATCACAGTCTAATATCCCTGTTTTCAGCATGCTTTCAAAACAGGAGATCTCTGTACTCGCAGCCTTCTGACTTTTACCAGCCTTGGTTATGTTGTAGGGGGATCCAAAACACCCCTAGCCTTCTCCAGGACAGTACAAATATATGAAGACTGTTAGATCATTATTTCTTTAATGGCAAAGAGCTGTGGAAACTGAGCTGAAAAACCTGGGGCACAGCTAGGGAATCATTGAAAGACTTGCCAGAAATGGATAGGAGTGGTGGAACTTAGTTGCTGCCTTCAGTGCCAGAGGCATTATGGGAACATTGTGACAATGAGTATGAGGAAGTCTGTGGTGATTCATATCATTTTGTCAACTAAGCTTCTGGTGATACTCCATAAATCAGTTGTGTACTTCCATTTTCATGATTCTCTTACCTTTTGTCCAGAAGTTTAGATTTAATAGTTTAATCCTTAGATTTATAGCTGCTTCCAAGTGGCTGTTCGCAGCATATGATGTTATTTTTCCAGTAGTTCCTAGTTTTTTAGAGTATGTCTACACTTGCACCCTAGTTCGAACTAGGGATGCAAATGCAGGCATTTGAAATAGTCAATGAAGCGGGGATTTAAATATCCCGTGCTTCATTAGCATGATCTCGCCGGCACGCTAGTTTGAATCACAGCTGATTCGAACCAGGAAGTGCATGCCGGGACGTGTTAGTTGGAACCAAACTCCTTGGTTTGAACTAACGTTACTCATTTTTTGAGGAGTAACGTTAGTTCGAACCAAGGGGGTTGGTTCGAACTAACGTGTCCCAACGCATGTATTTCCTGGTTCAAATCAGCTGTGATTCGAACTAGCACACCAGTGAGATCATGCTAATAAAGCGCAGGATATTTAAATCCCCGTTTCATTGACTACTTCGAATGCCTGCATTTGCATCCCTAGCTCGAACTAGGGTGCAAGTGTAGACATACATTAAGAGTTGTTTTTGAGGCTGAACAAAAAACTTAGCATCTGTAGTCTAACACTGATCTTCATCAGTGCTCAGTACATCATCAGCATCTTCTTATCTGCAACCCATTTGTTTCCAGCAATGCTTTTAAGTAAGCATTTTTAAGTCATCCTACTTTTACATTTTGGTATGATTATCTACATGAATTTTCCAAGTTAATTTAACATCAAATACTATTCCTAGGAACATAAGCTTTTGACTAGGTCTATGCTAAGTGAGGCTGTGTCTAGACTACATGCCTCTGTCATCAGAGGCATGTAGATTAGACACATAGGCAAAGGCAAATGAAGCCGCGATTTAAATGATCGCGGCTTCATTTAAATGTACATGGCTGCCGCGCTGAGCCGACAAACAGCTGATCAGCTGTTTGTTCGCTCAGCAGGCTAGTCTGGACGCTCCCCTGCCGACATCAAAGCCCTTTGTCGGCAGCCCCGTTATTCCTTGTGGGACGAGGTTTACCAGAGCTGCCGCCAAAGGGCTTTGATGTCGGCAGGGGAGCGTCCAGACTAGCCTGCTGAGCGAACAAACAGCTGATCAGCTGTTTGTCGGCTCAACGCGGCAGCCATGTACATTTAAATGAAGCCGCGATCATTTAAATCGCGGCTTCGTTTGCCTTTGCCAAAACAACAAATCTACATGGCTCCGTTGACGGAGCCATGTAGTTTAGACGTACCCTGAGAGTCAACTTAAGATATGCAATTCCAGCTACAAGCACAGTATAATTGGAGTCAATATACCTTAAGTTGAATTTCTGTGGTGTCCCTAATGTGGGAATTTTAAGGGAAAAGTTCTCCCAGTGATTTCCCTTAGTCCTTGCGACCTCATGAAGTACCGGGGTTGATAGGGGAGTCCTCAGCGGTCAATTTAGCAGGTCCTAACTAGACCTAAATCAAACCCCAGAATATCGATCTCTGGACCCTCAATCTCAGAAAACACAGACCCGGCCTTAGTTTTTGCAAGCAAAAATTTAAATCCCCAATTACTTCTCCTCTTGGAAATTCTCTGGAGTACCTAATTTGTCTTTTACATGATTACTTTTATTCTTTAGACCTAGTCTGTATAGCACAGTCATCTGTGAAAAGGAATATACCTAGTCCTGTCTTCACAAATTCTGGGAAGTTATTTATCATAATGGAAAATAGAGTTGATAATACTCCCTTGTGGAGTTCCATCTGTAAGCATATGGGTTTTTGATAAAGCTGTTCCCATTTCGACTTATATAGTTTCATTCCTTGAAAAAGTCACTCCAAAACCATTCTCTCTTTTATTTCAGCATTGGCTAATTTATATTGTTTTTTTCAACATCCAGGGAGATTGATATAAAAGTTCTTACTATTTTATGCTTTTTTTGTACTTCCATTTCTAGTAGTCTCACTATTTATGTTCAACCATGCATTTTCCTTTTATGAAACCACTTAGTACTGTTATAATATCATTTTCCTTCTATGTATTTCCCTAGTCTTATATGAATAGTTTTTACCATTATTTTCCCCATGCTTGATGTGAGGGCAAACGGAACTGGTAAGGCCCTGCAGCACCTGATGCTGCTGAGCTGTGATTGGCTGTCACTAACCTACCAGCCCTTGAAGGACTTAGTTTTTTACCTTTGTTGCTCTTTTTCTTACACCTTGCTGCTTCCTGGGACAGGGTATAGCAGAGATGTGCAGCCTCTAGAGAGGCCATGAAGGCCTGGTACACCCCACCATAACTAAATAGTTACATTCTGGAAAAAAGTAAAAGAAAAATATAAGAGAAGTAAAAAGAGCATATTCCTCAAGAATGGGAACAGTCGCATAGTACAATTAGATTCAATCCAGAATGATTAAAACAAATTATATATTTTTATTTTTATGTCCATTAGAGGAAAATATCGGGAAGAAGATTCAAAAGAACACATGTAATTTTCAGTCCTGGTTTTAGGCCCTGGTGAAACCCTTAGAAGTCTTAATATTGGATGACATTAGAAAATTTAGGAAGATATTACCCGATTGAATCTTATAGTCTTTCCAGATTCTGTCTCTTGCTTCCTGAAGGAAAATACATTCATAAATGTTTAAGACTAATCATCTAATCATAACTACTCAACCTCCCTGAATTTCAGTAGCTATGTCAACCAGAGGACTTCTCCCTCTGTGGATAGTGCCACTTGAGGAGGAGGATTTATGCATGCAGGAGACCTTTCTACCCTTGGGACAGAGCTACTGCATTAACAATACAGCTACATCTATACATCTGCATCACTGCAGCAATTCTGGTATAGACTAGACCTAGTCAGTACAGATTTCCTATTTGTACAATGAGGATAATAATGCTTTAGAATCATAGAATCCTAGGGTTGGAAGAGACCTTAGGAGGTCATCGAGTCTAGCTCCCTGACCAAAGCAAAACCAGTTCCAACTAAATCATTCCAGCCAGGGCTTTGTCAAACCAGGACTTAAAAACCTCTAGGGATGGAGATTCTACCACCTCCCTAGGTAACTCATTCCAGTACTTCACCATCCTCCTAGTTAAAGTAGTTTTTCCTAATATCCAATCTAGACCTTCCCCTCATTGTAAGTTTAGACCATTACTTCTTGCTCTGCTGCCCCTCACTATTGAGAACAGCCTCTCTCTCCATCCTCTTTGGAACCTCCCTTCAGGAAGTTGAAGGCTGCTATCAAATCCCCTGTCACTCTTCTATTCTGCAGACTAAATAAGCCAAAATCCCTCAGCCTCTCCTCATAGGTCCTATGCTCCAGCTCCCTAATCATTTTGGTTGTCCTCTGCTGGACCCTCTCCAATGCGTCCACATCCTTTCTGTAATGGGAGGGGAGGCAGAATTGGATACAATTCTCCAGTTGTGGCCTCACCAGTGCCTAGTAAAGGGGCACTCCTTATGGGGATGTTGTGAGCTAAATACATTACACATTTTGAGGCAACTTGGATGTTCTGATAAAGGAGGATCATATAAGTACTGGAGATAGAGAGGATGGCAAAATAAGTGAAATTATCAAGAGTGTGGGCTTTGGGAATTTTAGTGTAAAACTCTTACCAGTGTTAAATGATAACTTTAAAAATATATATATTTTCATTGTGCATTTCATTCTTGGTTTTTTTTTAAAGAAATTACAAACAGAAAATGAAACATCTAAGTTTTATTATTTTATCTTTTCACACTTCCTTTTTAAAGGTTATCAATTGGCAAACAACTCTTCACATCCCGCCTCAAGCTAAACTGTCTCCAGAGGCCTCTGACCTTATTATCAAACTCTGTCGAGGGCCAGAAGACCGTTTAGGCAAGAATGGTACAGATGAAATAAAAGCTCATCCATTTTTTAAAGCTATTGATTTTTCAAGTGATCTACGACAGCAGGCTGCTTCATATATTCCTAAAATTACACATCCTACAGATACATCCAATTTTGACCCAGTTGATCCAGATAAATTGTGGAGCGATGATAAGGAAGGGAATGTAAATGACACACTTAATGGGTGGTACAAGAATGGGAAACATCCTGAACATGCTTTTTATGAGTTCACATTTCGAAGGTTTTTTGATGACAATGGCTACCCTTACAACTATCCAAAACCCATTGAATATGAATATAATAATCCACAAAACCTGGAGCAGGAATCAGATGACGATGAGGAGCAGGCAGGCAAAGGGATTCAAAATCGTGATCTAGTTTATGTTTAGTAGAGAAGTTGAAGTAGTTCAACCGTGTGTTTTGATGTTGGGATTTTTTTTAAAATCTCTTGTTATAAAAGAAATAACATAAGATTGCTTAGGTAAATATATGCACACTTTATTAAAAATTATCATTATCTCAGAGTTCTGTATCTTTGCTTTCTGTACATTTTGTTTCCCCAAAATGAAGGGAAAATCTTTTAAAATGTTAACTTATTCCAGCATTATTAATCATTAATTTAGAAAGGAATTGATGTTAGGAAGAACTGTGGTTTATGATGATTTCTTCGTACTTTAAGTACTCAATATAGGAAATAGTGAATTCTTAAAAGGAAATGCCTGTTATCTATTTGTAAATAGGTTAAGTAATTTAAAAATAAAAATCTTTTTCAGAATTTGTGAATGATAGTTCTGCCTTGCTTTGACCAAATATAAATCTTATCGTACACTTACAAAAGTATCTGATACCTCTCTGATACAAGCTGCTGTATTGTGGCTTTTCACAATATCACGCTTGATTGTTAGCAAAATTAAGCCTGTCTGATAGGTAATTCCCAGTCAGTATGGTAACTGCACAGTTCACAGCTTTGAAACTAGGAAGCATCAGTCTCTCTGTAATGTGACTATAAATGGTTTGAAAAAAGCTTAGCGTTTTTATTTATATTTAACTTATATTGAAAGTATAATTAGATTTAGAGCACTGTGATACCTAAAACCAGTAATAGTATTTACTTATTAGCAATTAGCTCTCTCCCTGTTAGTCTGTCTTGCAGATGGGGGAGGAATAACCCTTTAGAAAAAAATAGCCTGAAATCTGACTGAAGCCAAACTGTAAAGTCTTAAATTGCTCCAATCAGAAAATGTATAGCTTGAAAATTGTTTTGAAAATAGACATTTTTAAGGTCAATGCCTCTTGTTTACTACAGTCATCTAGGCCATTGTACTGGAATTCTTGCTCCCTGAGCATCTTGAAACCATGCTCAGAGCTGATATCACAACAGTGTAAGGAGTATGTGCAGTACCACTATGGTGCTATCATGATAAATGATTTTAAAATAATTTTAAGAAAAGAAACCTGGTTTTTATGAATATTTGCTTATATTTCTATTCTGAAGCACCTATCATGATGAAAGTATATTTATATAAACTATGCATTACTTTTAATAAAACTATTTTTCTATAGTCTGAATAAGGTGTGAATCAGCAAAACACAACTCAAGTCCTGTTTGCCTGTCTGAAAGAAAGCTGTTCTGTCTCTACATTTTGAGTCATAATGTTTAGCTTCAATATTATAAAATGGATGCAATATATTAATCAGCTTTTTATTTTTGTTTGTAAAAAAAGGGTTTATTTCAAAGTAAATAATCTTTTAAAGGACTGTCTTCATAATGTTGGTAAGTGTCCCAGTAAAACTGGCAGTTTTAATCTCCTTTACATATCGTTCAGTAAAGTGTAATATATTACTGGTTAAAACCAATTTTATCTGAGCATATTTCTCCTGTTTCCAGTCCATTGAGATCTAGATTTGTGATTGGTCATAGCCAAAAAGTGATGGATTTAGCTGAAAAAAGATGTCTTTTCTAAGGCTCTTTCATAAGTTTAACTACAAAGAGAATTTCTGTTAAACCAGCAATTGAGTGTTTTAAACTAAAATCCATGGCACTGAAATATGAGATACTGCTCTGTCATTTTGGAAAAAAATACATAAACTGGTATTTCCAGTTTTTTTTCTTATTCTCTACCATTGTATTTCTGATGCTCCTAATTTAAGTTTGCAATCTAGATGCTGCAATATGTACTCCATACATATTTCTCTGCTGGATCTCCTAGTGCATTACAGTGCGCTAAGTATTGCTCTGGGAGAAGAAATATCCTCATGAGCAATCAATTGTGTTGCCTCAACTCTCCAGTATATTACCCTGTGCCCATGTGTGAAACTCCCGTTGACTACAGAAGTAGTTCCAAACATGGATCCAGGATATGTTGTGACCTTTAGTGTCTTCTGTTATACTATTGATATTTTGGTCCTTCATAAATTTTGCTGTAGAATCTTCTGGGGCATTGATATTTGTTCAGGCTAGTTTATATTGACAACAGAGGAGAGATGCTTATAACCAGCAGCTGTGAGATTGTATAATCATAATTTTAGTTCAGATGTCTTGAAAATATTTTCAATTGTAAAGAATTAAAATAAGTCATTGTCTTTTATTGCCTCATGTATACATATAAATTGTATTTATAAAATGTTCTGTAATCATGTAACTATTGTAAATACTGTTCTGATGTATTGTTCAATGATATTCTATCCTAGGGCAGGCCCTCTTGCTGTATCTTTTCTATCTTCATATTTCTAATAGAATCAATAGAATGTATGACTAGAAAGTCATTGTGAGACTGACTTAAAAAATCTTCTGCTGTTGCTAATTGCAAAGCTGAGAATGGGTATGATTTATTTGGACTTAATTATATTAGCTAATGCAGTTGGTGGGTTCTTAGATGCTGCTGCTGTTACCCCACATACCATAAGACTCTGTTCCAAATATTGTTGGTATTTAAAATCATATATTTAATCTCTCTGCTTTAATTCCACCAAAGTAAAGAGATAACAAATTTCAGTCAGCATAGTAGTAAAAATGGTATGAGTGCCTTAACATGCTTTCGATAAAAGGCACTATTCAAGTTTACGTGTGTGTGTGTGTGTGTGTGTGTGTGTGTGTGTGTGTTTTGTATAATAAATTTTTTGTTGATAAAACACTACAATTTTATAAAATTACATTAGATTGAGAAGGAATTGCAGCCTTCATAGACAATATAACTAAATCATCTTTGCATATTTCTGAATGCTACAACTGTTGGTAATCAGTGACATTCCCTACAACTGTTTTATGAATCTGTTCATCTTTCTCAAAATTTGTGTCTCTAGTGTAATATCTGTTGGGATTTAAAAAAATCAAATTAAGTAAATCTTTTTCCTTGTAAATGGCAAATAAATTCTGGTTCTACTAATCAAATACAAGTTGAAATTTGAAACTGTTTGAAAGTTGTTGGTCTTCTGTTGTCTTAAATCTGTGCAAATGGCATAACTTGGAACTGGTAAATCCAATGCATCATCATGCAGTTAACTAATACTGCTGTATTACGTATAATTAGACAGAGTTTCTGACCTCTTTCTAGAAGTTCGAATAACTGAAATCACAATAATTATAATTTGTCACACTTGTTTCTCACCCCCCCACTCAAATGATAAAAATGGCCCTGCTCAGCATCTGCTTATTCAGTGGATAATGAATCTCTCTATAGACTGTACATAATGAACAACTGACTTCATAAATAACTGCATTTCCTGGCATTTAGAGCAAATGCGGCTCTCAAATTAGGAAATCAATTTCTAGCATAAGAATGCTGTCCACATATAGAACATTATTTCTTCTTTGATAAACTTCATCTTAAAGTGCGTATCTAAAAATGAAAATAGATGCACAAGTTTTTGCTTTATTAAAGAGGTACATCACATGCCAGCACTTCTACCAGACTTAGACCTCTCTGACTTAAAATAAATTTTTAGTGTTTTGAGATTCATGGCTGGCTAGTGAACAAATGGGAAGTGATCCTTCACTTACAGGTTAAACAGAGTTCAAAACCAGCAGAGTTTCTGAAATCAAATTATGAATTTAACTTTAAACCCCTTCTGGGGTTTTGCCCACAAAAGCTTATGCTCACATAAATCTGTTAGTCTTTCAGGTGCTACAGGACTCATCGTAGTCTATCCACAAAAACACAGCTACACTTCTTATAGTTTTCACTCTCTTTTAGTCAGATAAACTCTATAGGTGGGTGTATATCCTGTCTGACACTTGGCATAGGATCCTCTTGTCCTTCCACCTAAACTCTAGAACCGCTGCCTCAGCCTTCTCATAGGCACTCCAGTTTATAGTTTAACTCTTTGGGGCCCAAGTGACAGTTAAAACAAAAAGCACATAGGCTTTGCAAAGGAACTCTTTACGCGTACATGTTTTACTCCCAGAAGTATAAAAGATTTATGGATCTATGGAAAAACATCTAACTCCAAATCCTTACAGGCTCACCCCCATCCCTCTGCTTTGGTCAGAGGTCTATCAGCATTGAGGGTACATGGAGACTCCCAAGTATCTAATGCAACTAGTCCTTGCTGCTGGTGACAGTATGCCCCCTCCGCACATAAATAAATAAATAGAGATTGCCTATCTCCGGAAGGGCCCTTGGAAGGTCATTGAGTCCAGTCCCCTGCCTTCACAGCAGGACCAAGTACCATCGCTGACAAATTTTTGCCCCAAATGACCTCTGCAAGGATTGAACTCACAGCCCTCGGTTTAGCAGGCCAATGCTCAAACCACTGAGCTATCCCTCTTACTTACATATATTGACTTGGTTATAAGCTCTGCTGTGAGACCCCTCTATTCTAGCTAAGCTGGCATTCGTATATTTATCCCCTCCTGTTTCACAGGAAGGACCTGGTAAAACAAGACACGGCTGTAGCATATCCGTATAGAACCCTTATGTTCTGTCTGGAGGGTTCATCCTATGTTAGATCTCCAAGATGAGGACTGCGTCGTCCTACAGCTTTCTATGCATCACCTTTGACTATGCATAAATCAGTTTAAACTGGCTCTCAATATAGGTTCCTACACAAAGTAGAGGTTCTATTCCATAATGCAGGTTTACAATAAATGATACAAAACAAAATGGCATTTATAAAATTACATTCCCAACTCCTCTCACAGGTTCCTTCCATTGATTTCAGAGGTGCTTTGTGCTGGCTATACATATCTGAGGGTATGTCTACACTTGCACCCTCTTTTGAGAGAGGGAGGCAAATAAGACATTCGAAATTGCAAATGAAGCTGGGATTTAACTATCCTTTGCTTCATTTGCATCATCACATTATGGCACTATTTCAAAATAACAGACGCTGTTAAGACACGGTTATTTTGAGAGAAAACCTTTCTCTCGAAATAACTGGCAAACTTCATTGTACACGGAGCCAAATTTTGGGGAAAACGAGGTTTACAGGGATGTTGACAAAATGCGTCCACTTTTTTTTCAAAAAAGTGGACGTGTTCCTTGGACATGGAAGAACTTTCCCACAATACCTCCAGTATCCCAGAAAAGCTCTGCAGTCTAGATGTACTCTGAGATTGCATCTGATGTAGATAAAGACCTGCTGCAGTAGAGTATAGCAAGTTGCATGCAAGTTGCAGACCCAATGATGTATATTAGATGCTTCAAACACCTGATTCAGCTGTCTGGCCCAGCTTTTCACAAATCAGATTTAAGAAGATACTTCCTGCTTTCTTCAGACTGAAGCTTGCTGCAATACAATGGTCTTTACACTGTGTTTTCATTCAACATTTCACAATACATAGCTGCCTACCCTTATTACCAAACATATTCTCCATGGAAAGTGGCTAACAGAAGAAACTTCGGCTTCTAACAATCCAAATGAGCTGGAACAAATGAGCAAAATGTCATGACAAGAAAAGGAGAACAATCTTAGCCTTTTGGGACTGAAAAATCAAAGTGAGCTGTTGAAGAGGAAACCACTTTCATCCACCAAATTAGCAGCATGCAACAAGAAATACAAGTATGATGAGCATTTTGTCTTCTGATCTTACTTGCATTGGAAATAAAGATGCTCCCTATGCACAGTTCAACAAAGTACTTTTCAATAGTTCTCTGACACCTGTTAAACTATGAAGGTATTTAGAAACAAATCATTCTGAACATAAAGACAAAGGCATAAGTTTTTTTCAAGTGAAAGCTTGACACACTTTCAAATAGTAAACTCTCACTGCTGAAAATTGCTAAATTGGAGAACAAAAACACAACAGAAGCATCCTACAAAGTGAGCTATTATATTGTACTCACTGGAGAAGCACATAGAATTGCAGAAAAAATCATCAAGCTTTGTGCAAAAGATATTGTGATGTGTATGCTTGATGAGCAATCTAGTAACAAGGTGGAAGCAAAGTCACTTTCAAACAATTTTGTTGCACATTGCATTCAAGATCTTGCTGCTGATGTTGAGAAAAAAACAGTAAGGGCTCCACCAACTTTTCTGCACCCACTATGGGCTCTGCAGCTGAAATAATTCGGTAAACCACAAAAAATAAAGATTATTATACTGGGTCTTTAATTTCAGGGAGCCCAAGA